CTCTCTCTCTCTCTCTCTCTCTCTCTCTCTCTCTCTCTCTCTCTCTCTCTCTCTCTCTCTCTCTCTCTCTCTCTCTCTCTCTCTCTCCTTTTTGACAGACTGGTGGTGGTAATCCATTGTCTTATGTGGCATGTACAGGGTGCACAGTCTTGCTCTTTGTCCTGCTCTTCGTCCGCAAGACCCGTAACTCTGTGATGGATAAGCGATTGATGATTCGCTGCTGTGAGTGGACTGTCATTTTGAACCAGATTTACACTTGATGTTATCTTCCATTGTTTGTTTGGGTGGACATACTTGATGTCATTTTGAACTGGTGTTGTTATTTGTTGTATCCAATGTGAGGGTGACCAATTGCTGTGTGTGGATCATCGTTGTACATATTTGTACTTAACTTATCTTCCATTGATTCTGCTCATTATTTTAAGACGATGTTGTTTTTTGCTACCGTGCAGTGCAAGCCATGATAGAACAAACCTATTCGCTATGGACCCATCAATCAATCATGAACAGATGTGGGCATTTTCCCAACAAGTGCACTCTGTCCCCCCAGCTTAGGAAGGGTGCCTGTAAACCTGTAAACCACCAGTCCGCCCAATGCAATGAAGAATTGAAAATGGCATTCTTTTTATTTTGTCACACAACACACAGGCCCTTTCTATTCTGGGGGGCGTCAGTCCGGTTGCTTGTCACCTGCAAGCATAGAGTACAAGATGGGGGGGGGGGGGGGGGAAGGCATCCTGGTGAGCCCAATTGCATTCGAATGCAAGAGTTTGAATGTGGCAACTTTTTTTTATTGTTTTTTTTGGGGGCGTTTCCCCCCTCCGTATTGTGCGTGATTTTTTTTTTTTTCAAATCAGGCACATAGATTTACTGCGAGTGTGTTGTGGAAAAGCATTTGAAATTTGAAAACAGACACAGACAACAAATCCAAGATGGAAGAATACCTTTTTTTTTTTAAAAAAAAAAAAGAAGAAGGTAGAATAGCCTAGCTCAGTGGGTACACCCATGAACTGTTGAAAACACAGATGCGTGTTAGAATCCAGATGATGGAACTTGATTGATGAGTGAAGTTGTTGTAAAACCAACTATTTCTGAATTGGCTGGGGCCGGTCAGCTTAAACCACCAGTACTTGGGCACTGCGCGCCGCGCCGGCCGCCCAAATCTCGAAGCAGCGCGGGCTGTCGATTGGATTTATCGACGGCCCACCGGCCGCGGAAATCGCGTAGCGTTAACGCTAAGGCGTCGCCCAAGTACTGGTGGTTTAATGATTATATCTCAAGGCCGTTGCCCTTTTTGAAAGAAAAAAAAAAGATGGCAGAATAAGTTATATGGTGGGAAAGGCTTTCTTTTTTCTTTGTCGTGCATCGTTTAAACCACCAGTACTTGGCCCAGCTATCGATTCCGAGGCTCAAAACGTCCTGCGCGCCAAGTTTCCGCGAACGGCCAGCGCACCGTTTTTTTTGTCGTCTTGGCTGGTGCCTCCAGCTTTGTGGTCTGGTACCCCGCCCTAAGCGTGCAGGTTGCGGCGCGTTAACGGCTAAGGCCCGCAGCCGATTGCTGGGGGGCCAAATAGTGGTGGCTTAACTCCCAAGCTGCAACCAGTAGGCCCAAAAGTTTTCCACTTCCAGGTCATACTGGAAATTCAAGTTTCACAGTGCAGCGGGCGCTTGGGGTTTTAAATCACCAGTACCTTTCCCATGTATCGCCCATGGGCAGAAAAAAAAAAAAAAAAAAAAAAAGGCCCAAAATGGAAAAGGGGCTGCCGATTCAATTTGAACCGTGTCCCAATCTTGCTTGGCGTCCGCCTTACCCGGTGCGGAATTGATTTTTTTTTTTTTCTGAAAATTCACAAATTCATTTCGTAATCAAGAGTTCAAGGCCGGCGGTGCGGAATTGATTTTTTTTTTCTTCTGAAAATTCACAAATTCATTTCGTAATCAAGAGTTCAAGGCTGGCAACCTCACAAATCCACCCGGGAATTGATTTTCGTTCAAGCGGGGAAAGGTACTGGTAGTTTAAGCCATGGCTTATGAACAGGAGTCACACAAAGGATGCACTTTGGATAGGGGAAGTTTTCTGCATCTGTTCATAGTTGATTGGTCACAAGGGAATGGGTGATTTTCACTGCGTGCCGGTTTTTATCGAGCTCAGGGATTTTTTGTTTCTGCTACCGCGCCGCGGCGCCTGCAGATAGACCGTGTAGAAGGGAGAGGGGGGCAATCCCTTATGCCATGATAGCCTTCAGAGATTCTCTTCAGTACTAGTGTGAGTCTGCTTTCAATCAGGGCATCTATCCGACACACAAGAGAAGAAAAAGGAAAAGCGGAGCCCTGGGGATAAGGAGACGAAAGACCACAGATCTTAGGAAAGGACAAACAAAGAACGGACTATGAAACTTTGGGCTGACACATATTGTTTTGCATAGGGACGCTGGACCCGGTTTCCAGCAGGTGTAAAGATGTATCAATGCGACGCTGGACCCGGTTTCCAGCAGGTGCCGCTCCCCACCAATATATGGAGCCTCCCCGATGGTGCTAGTGGTGTCTGCTCTTATCAGCACCGCTAGCAACATCTCGGGCTGTTTCGTCAAAAAAAAAAAAAAAAAAAAAAAGAGAAGAAAAAGGAAAAGAAGAAAAAAACATTTATACATGCTGTGAAAGCAGTCAGGTAGGTACATCCGTGGAAGTAGAGTGTGAGTATGTCCTCAGTGAGGGTGTTTCCGTCCCCTGCGTGGAATACGCCCTGCCTCGCTGGCAGGGCACTAAGATAGAATTTTTGAAAAGAAGGGGAAAGAAAAACAGAGAGAATTTTTGAAAAGAAGGGGAAAGAAAAACAGAATCAACAAATGTCTTATGCTGAAAAAGTGGCCACTTTGTTTTGGAAAGCACAACTCTGAATATGCCCTCGGTGAGGGCCTTGAAGGCCTTCCCGGCATCGTTGAAGCTGTTAGTGTTTTTTTTTTCCTGGTAGCAGGCTCACACTGGCAGGGCCTGAAAATTGAGTTTCCAACTTTCCAACAAATTCGAACTAATGTCGCCGAGCCTGCGCCGAGGTTGGAGAAGTGCAGGAAGTACCCTACTTTTGCGACTTAAGGGCCAGAGTGAAGAAGGTGGTGGTTGTTTAACTTCTTTCATCCAGCAAGAGGACCTGTGAAATATCCAGCATGGTCTCTCAGTCCCTTGCTTGACACGGTTTAGTCAAGAATCCGAAAGCGCCCTTGCTGGACCCGGTTTAGTCAAGAATCCGAAAGCGCCCTTGCTGGACCCGGTTTAGTCAAGAATTCGAAAGCGCCCTTGCCAGGCCATAACATGAAGAGTAAGGGTCAGGCCCCCCACTGGTGCTATGTTTGTCCGACGAAAGTGTGAACATGGTTGTGAGAACTTGTGACAACGCCCAGGTACGTGTTGTCCTAGCATGTTCAAAGCTCCAGTAGGGCGGGCCCACTAAGCTAGGTCTATATTTGAAGTCATGCCATGCGAAACTGATTTGCACTACCTCGTCGTACGATCGGAATTCCTAACAAATTCGTAGACGTAGTCCAACTGCTTCATGATATGTCATGTTAATTGAAAACATCGCGTCCTAGTGTTCCCTCCTTTCCCGGATTTTCCCTTGCTTTGCCATACAAGAGCACAAACGAATGATCCCCCTCTCCCCCTGCCTACTACTGTTGCAGTCTTCATCTTTTCACATATGCCAC